TTATTATTATTATATATTTTTTCTGCTGTTTTTGTGCTTTTTCATCTGCAGTACTTTGGGGTGAGCCATCATAAAAGGCAGATTTTTCTGTACGAAGAAATGACATTGTTTTGGGATTTAAACTAAAGTTACAATTTATTTATTCTTCTGGCAACATAGTTTGAATGTGCTCATTGCTCAATCCAGAGAGACCTTGATGATGGACATTGTCAGGAACAAGTTAATTCCAAAGCAATTCTCTGTCACAGCACCCACTAGCCCAGCTATAGAACGATGATGTTTCAGATGTTTGAAAAAAAACAAACTGTTGAACGCTTAAAAAGCTAAGCCAATGCAAGGAATCCTGTTTATGAATGGATTATTTCATGGGAAGTAACTAGAACAAGAAAATTAGGTAAAAAGGAATAACTGCAGCAGAAGTCATTATCATTAGACTGATATTAGCTGGGACTGTTAAAGGACTAAACGTTCATTGTTTTTTAGAATAGAAGTGGTCTTGTATTTGCAAAAGATAAATGCTGACTTGAAGGTCATTTTGTATTTGTTATTTAGATATATTTTCCATTTTATCAGCTGTCCAGCTTAAACTTATTTTAAAATGTCTAAAAAAAAAACAAAAAATAAATATATGATGCCTTACTTTTATGATTTTCCTGATTTTTGTGCATCTGATTCGTGAGGCTGTAGTCATGGTCAAAGAGCAAGATCAGGTTCAGAACTGTGGTTTCCATTCAAGAGATTTTTTTAGAGCAAAAGGAGAGGTAAGAGCTCAGAAGCCAGACCAATACCGGCCAGTGAGAGACGGGAAGTGAGGATTTAAATCAGAAGCAGGCTGGATGATGATGGATTGCTGGGGACAATTAGTCACCTCGTGTGGCGGTGCTTAGGGTTAATAAGCTGCTTGCGGTGCAAAGGAGCCGTAACACCAAAAGTATTGGGACAGGAAAGTCAACACTTTAATTTTGTTTTACAGTCTAGACATTTGTATTTTTGATCACAGGATTAATATTAATTTTAAGTACAATATCATATATTTAATTTATGTGTAATTTCATGCCAACATTTGGGTCAATCCAGTGATTTCAAGTGACTGTAGTTATGTTTAGCATTAACACTAGTGATGCTCTCTTGTGATGGAGTTGAAACACAGTTAGATATAACCTGCCAAGCTAATGTACAACTCAACTTTGCTGTTGTGACTTTGTGTCCTCCTCCCCCCTGTTACTGTGTTGCCCATATTCCCTTGCAGCTCATCAACAAGAAGAAGTATGGCACTCTGTGGCTGTCAGAAGTCCGTGGACACAAAGCAGTGAATGTTGCAGATCCACATCTGATCGAGCAGGTATTAAGGAATGAGGGGAGGTTTCCCAGCAGAGGGGACATTAAAGAATGGAAGGAGCATCGTAGACTTCAGGGCCTGGAATTTGGACCTATTCTCAAGTATGTTTTTCTTTTTTAAGGGTGGACTGCAAATTGAAGTATTTGTGTCATGGCAGAAGACTTTTAGAATGCTAAAAGCCACTGTTTTGTAGATCTAAATTTGTCATATAATCAACAGAGGCTATTTCATGATTTGTTACACTCGGGTCATTTCAGATAGTGGGTGTGTATGTCATTGGTGGGAGGAAACGGGAGGATAATAATAATAATAACACTCCACTTGAAGTGCTTTACAGGTAATGGGGACTCCCCTCCACCACCACCAATATGCAGCCCCACCTGGATGATGTGACAGCAGCCATAGTGCGCCAGAACACTCACCACACATCAGCTATGTAGGGGAGGAGAGCAGAGTAATGAAGCCAATTCATAGAGGGGGATTATTAGGAGGCCATGATGGGTAAGGGCCAATGGGAAATTTGGCCAGGACGCCAGAGTCAGGACCTCAGTTTTACATCTCATCCGAAGGACAGCGCCTGTTTACAGTATAGTGTCCCCGTCACTACACTGGGGCATTAGGACCCACATGAGCCACAGGGTGAGCGCCCCCTGCTGGCCCCACTAACACCTCTTCCAGCAGCAACCTTAGTTTTTCCCAGGAGGTCTCTCATCCAGGTACTGACCAGGCTCACACCTGCTTAGCTTCAG